GGAATTGATGACGATTGGACCCCAAAATATGGAGACTTGGTCTTTAATCCTGACACGTTCCCAGATCCCAAAAGCATGGTGGATACACTACACAGTCAAAATATTGCCGTGGCTCTGTGGGTCCATCCTTTCGTTAATATCGATACCAAAGCATTTCCATACCTGGCGAGTCAAGGATGGCTGATTCCAGATGTTTCTGGGAAAAGGCCTGCTTTGACTACTTGGTGGAACGGGCCGATGGCGGGTCATATTGACTTCAGCAACCCTGGCGCAGTGAAATGGTATCTGGACGAACTCAAGGCCCTGAAGACCAACTTTGGAATCGACACCTTCAAATTTGATGCAGGCGATGTAACATACTTGCCACCAAAATTCAAAGCAAACCAAACATTTCCCAATCGTAATCACTACACACGACTGTATGCCACTGCAGCTCATAATAGCGACACCACTCAGAATCGGGTAGAAGTCCGCACGGGTTTGAGAACGCAGCACCTTCCCATACATGTCAGGGCGTTGGATAAGAATTCAATCTGGACCTTCCAGGAAGGATTTAGGACCATCATAACTAATGTTTTGACTTTCGGACTACTGGGATATCCATTCATTCTGCCGGATTATATTGGAGGAAATAGCTATGTTGCATACCCAGACCCTGAGCTGTTTATCAGATGGGTACAAGCCAACGCTCTCATGCCACTTATGCAGTTCTCACTGGAACCTTGGGCATACAACAACATCACTGTCATAGAAGTAGCTCAGGAGATGGTTCAACTCCATGCGAAGTATGCTGACAAGATCATAGGTCTGGCTAACGACTCCTTAACCACAGGCTACCCTATCAACAGGCCCCTGTGGTGGATAGCGCCTACAGATGAAGCAGCCCTGACCGTGGATGATCAGTTTCTGCTTGGTGATGATGTATTGGTGGCACCTGTTGTGGAACAAGGGGCGACAATGAGAAGAATATATCTTCTTGCCGGTAGATGGCGCGATGAACTAAAGGGACAGACACAAAATGGAGGGAAATGGATCGACTATCCTGTTACCTTACGAGACCTTCCATATTTCACTAAAATAGCTTGATGTTGACAATTCATCTCGTAATTAACATCGTTTCTCTTGATGGCGATTAAACATCTTTGGAACTCTCTTTGTAACAGTTCCATAGTCTGTCAAACTACCAGTGTTCCCCATTTATTAGGTTGTCAACTGTTATAGGTGTCCGGCTAGTTAGACATGTCCTCGCGGATTGGTTATATTCTAGGAGGCGTCATTGCTGTATTTAAATGTCGACGCCAGACCATACCGTAATCAAACGAAAAAGAGTACACTGGAGTAAAATCACCCACTTAAGATCTTAATGATTAATGACACCGGTACCCTCACTAACACTCTGGGTTTGAGCAGATAGACTTTGCGTTGTCATTACGGGTTCAGTAATTAGCTATTAGCGTCCTTAGTTGCTCTGAATGTCCTGGGTTCGAACCCAGTGTACTATATTTCTTTCTCTGAATAGTCGCGATGTTAAAAACAACTACACTCCACAACCCACAACCCACAATCCACACTCCAGACCCCAAACCGCTATCTATTTCTCTATCGCCCTCAAAAATAGCGTGTTAGGATATGACCCAATGAGTCGATGACCAAATTTTTATACCCAGTCTTGGTATTGCTACTTTTTTTTTTGCAAACACCTCAAGACTTCGATAATTATCATCGATCTATTCATATAATCAACTTTTATTCCATGTAAGCCAAGAGATGATAAAATTAATTTGTAATTTAACAGAAATGACTTAAAATACCGTATGTGGACAATAAGAAAAAAGCATGTGAATAATGACAGAATTATTTATTCCAAACAGACACCATGGTTAAAGCTAAATAAACTTATCCTTTTTGAGAACACCCGTCCGCTATTTTATCCTTGATATATTTATATACAGTATCACCATCATTTTGCTTGTGTGCCCTCTTTTATTTCATTATCTCTAGATCTTTAGGCTGATATTCGAGAAGGGGTATTCTCTCCACTGAAGGCGATACTATATTTTCATTGGATGTAAGGTGTTAAGACCGTATACAAAGCGAGACTCTCCATTAAAATACCCTAAATAACACGTGATTTCTATAAGGAAAAAAACAAGCCCATACGAAGCACACGTAAAATGATGAAATATCATCGTTGACGTTAACCGCGGTCGCTTGTTGACGTGAAACTGATACTATTGATGATGACTTTGATGATGTTAAACAGGTCCCATTGTTAGCTTACACCATTTTCGTTGAACAGACGTCACAATTGACGTAAGCACACACACACACACACACACGCCGCTCTGAAAACCGTTCCTACGCCCCTGTATCACATTCAAGATCAATAAATTTAGAAATTAAAAGCTGTTGACGATGAACAATAACAATACTAGTGTATCACAGATAAGGTATTATTGATCACAGATATTATTAAAAAGAACAGTATAATATTAAAACGGGCTATGGATCGCCAGCAACTGATGTTAGATCGCCATACTAAGGTCCATGTGGTAGAGCGAACTGTATTTCTTTTCTGAGATGCCAAATTGAATACTGTCTAAGGTTAATTACGATTAATATAAGGGACCTAAAATGCAAAAGTGTACTTTATCGCCTGATAAAGTACTGTCGGCGACTTTGATCCTTTAGTAAAGCATCTTAGACCATCTTAAATATGGACCTCTGTATACTTGTAGCCTTAATGAAATAAAGTTCAGTTCACTTCAGTCAATGAACACGCCTCCGGGGTGCCATTGTACAAAGCTATCTTAGCGCTGAGGTGACCGTAACTTAAAGTAGTCTTAGCGCTAAAGTTGTTTTGTACAACGGCACCGGTTCCCAATGTAGGTCACTGAACTGTCCTCACGTGCAGTACCAGCGGGTACAAAACTTCACCGACAGGCGCACACATCTGACGGCAGGCGTCGGCCACCCGACCACCAAGGACTATACTGACGATGGAAAATAGCGGTCCGACTTCCACTTTGTCTGCGGATGACAGAAAGGGTCACTCGGTCACGGTGACCGCCATGTCATGTGACTATTTTTAACATGCAAAAATAAAGCTGGGCACTGTTGTCTACCATCTTAACTACCATCCGTTTGACAATGCTTATGTATCTAGAAATCGCTGCATTTCTATTAATTTGATAGGTTGGTTAGACTCGGTGACTTGGTTGGCCACATGTCATGAGCCATGACGGCCTGGGACGGTGCTCATTAGATTAATCACTGGTCAAGATTTATCAATTTGCAGTCCGTCTTCATCATATAGCTGGACTATTGCTAACATTAGTTTCCGTCATTTTTGTGTTATTATGGGTTCTAGTGCTTTTATATTGTTGCTTTTCTGTCGGTGTACGGTGGGTTCGAATCCGAGAGTTCTGTTCCCTACTTTGTTGGCGGCCATGTTGGTGCATTTTGTCACAATAGTATCCCCAGTTGAAAGTTTCGTAATCGACTATGTAAATCTGTAGACAACTATGTAGGACTCTTTTGACGATCTAACTGGTAATCATATTAAGAAATAACTCGGGAGTGAGAAAAAAGTCCCCATTCGGTCCAATTTTGGGATGACACGATTCAGCTCTCAACAAAATATATACAAGAGCAATGCATTCTGCTCTGTATCTGCCAGCTCGACCACCTACCTCGTGTATGAAGGTGTTACTTCAAGCCATCTGATCAAACACGGACCAGGAAGTGGCAGGCTTATTGATCTTGTGATCATGAGAAGTAGAGTAAAGCGAATTAATGACGGCCACTATACAAAGACGGGCGAATTGTTTTCTCAAACTTCTCTCAGTCATAGCGTCGTTTCAGATACAAAGTAACAAAGTAACATAAATGTCTTCAAACAACGTCTTTGTGTGGCATTTTAGAAGTTGGGAAGTAAAATATAAACAAACTTTTTGGATAGCAACTTCTTTAATTCGTGGGTGCCACTTTTCAATACAGGATATGGTAAGGTTGTCAAGCAGGAAAATGTCATGTTCTTCAAACAAGAGTTCAGTTTGCACAGAGGAGGTTTACCTGTCCTTTGTAAATACATTGAATCACTTTGAGTCGTGGGATACGCTCTCCTTTCATTGTCCAGTTATTTTCATTCCCGCTAAAACGAATTCTTGGCTGACTGGATTCTTGGAAAAATGTTAATAAAAACCACAATGGGCTCCTCGAAATACGATGACGTAGGAAACGTCTCACATGAATGGCACTTCACTTGGTAAACTTTTCAATGTCAATATTTTGTTTAACTAATACCTAACATCATGAACAACTGTGAAAAGGTGCCCAAACCCATTCATTAGTCTATATAAAAATGCGTCATAAACGTTGGTAAATATTATTTTGCTAGATCAAACAAAAGCTCTCGCAGGAAGGTGCACGTGGCATAGGATATGAGTTGTCACTATAAATAGATATGAACCAAGAAGTTACATTGTGTTTATCCAAGAGGCGACTGGCTGTTACAAGAAGCTGTACATAAAGACTTCTTCTCAACCGGGTACTTCTTTAGGCTTCGACTGAGACTAGAAGATGGACGTACGGACATGTGTACTCATTCTGGTGGTGTGTGGTCTTCTCGTCGATGGAGCCCCTCCAGAAGAGAGAGGGCTTCCTCTTCATGATATATACTCGAAAACAGGTACCGTATGTTCGAGAGTTTGATATACTCTAGTAGCTCACTGGAGACATTCTATTACCCCAGGGTCCACTTACACCAAGCGACTTTAGCGCTAGGACTATCAGTAACCACTATATATCGGACCTGACATAGTCGTTGCGTTTAGGCCGCTTTGAGCAAGCAGCACTTTTAATTCGATTTCACAAATGAGTTTGATTACAAATTATTACGATGACTGTTAATTTAGTTCCAGAAGTTGGCAACTTGTAAATACAGCAAAGACGCTTCACAGTATGCTTTTAAAACATGAATGAATGTTGTTTTACCAGGTAGTAGTATTGTCACTGCGTGTCATTGTTTACGTCATGTTGATTTTAATAGCTTCACGTTAATGCTTTTCCCAACAGAATCGGTAATCAGAAACTACTTCGATATTTCAAAGTTAAATAAACTGACGAACAAAAGAAACTACACACCTGGTCTTGCGCTGTCAGCATCGCAATTGGCTGCGATATATGTGGTGTTTTATCCACAGGTACACAGCGTATATAACTTGTAACACCTTCCAAAATATCTGAGTTATCATTTAGAAAAAAAACACCCAAAGTACCAGGTGTGGACTTTCCTTCGTACGTCAGTTTTGATTTGTTTGTTTAACGTCGCACTTTAGACCACTCGTTCATCCTTTTGAATCTTACGCCATGAGAACCATCTACAACTTGGTATTGTCTAACAACGCATTTCGCTCATCTGCATCTGTAATTTTTGTCAACGCCGCACTCAGCAATATTCCAGCTATATATCGACGGTCTGTACATACTCGAGTCTGAGCCAGACAATATAGTGAGTGACATTATGACTGACTGACTGACTGAGTTTGGTTTTACGCCGCTTTTAGCAATATTCCAGCAACATCACGGCGGGGGACACCAGAAATGGGCTTCACACATTGTACCCATGTGGGGATTCGAAGCCGGGTCTTCGGTGTGACAAGCCAACGCTTTAACCACGTGTAGGCTACCCCACCGCCCACAGTGACATTATGAGCATCGATCTAGGCAATTGTGATATGATAACATGCATCAACCAAGTCAGCGATGACGTTAGTCGCCTCCGACGTCATGTGGCTGGACTAGACATGAATCATGCGTTCAGCTGATACACTTGTTGTTTTTTTCAGTTTCCATACTTGGAAGGATTCTCGACTCCGTCTGCCAGGTCTGTGCCAGGTTCAACTTACCATGCAGAGGAGTTCGATGTTTCAAACAAGGGTGACACGTCTTATAACTTGGTACTGTCTTTGGAAACTGAGGTCATGTGGACAATTTGACATGCGCAAGTAGAATGCGCTGATTATGGTAAAGCAGAAGATCATTGTGCTAGCCCTTTTCTAAGGGGACGTTATGCACGTGAATTCCGAAAATGAGCCGGTTGAAGAAAGTGTGGAATACATGTTATCATTACTATGTTATTAGTATATATCAGGCAAAACGTTTTGATCCTTTTGTTATAAACATTTGTACAAAATATTTTGTATCTAAAAGAATCACCAAGTGATACTTGAATAATTTCGTTGTATTTGAATATGAAAAGATTGTGAATACAAAACTAAAGTTTTGATTGTTCTTTTTAGTTTTTATTTAGTGTATATTTAATCTTCTGTTGAACCTTGCCATTTTGCAACATCAGTGGCAAGTGCATTCGTGAGAACTCGTCAATCCGTGATCAGGTGAATGGCGACTCGTGTCTCTGTCGTGGCCATTTTCCCAACTTGGTTTGTCTTTGTGTCAAAGGGGCCTGGTACAAAACACAGTCAACTTGCTGCAACACATCCAACATTTCTGTAATGCAGGGATACCAATCAATACCCCCATCTAACTAAACTACACAATTCCTTGATGAAATAGCCCCATTATATATACTCACACGCAAAAGCAACGCAAGTCTAGTATAAGGTATATATGTATATAATTTTCTCCATTAAATACAAGAAATACCAACAGGGTCAGATAGACAAACAATTGAGTTGAGACAATTCATTTCGGCAAAGACTGATGACATCATTAATTTTCTAAAGGTAAAGGGATTACACAGGTTCTGGTCAATAGCCAATGTCAGTCAGTACATAGTGTGACCCTGTTTTTTTTTCAATTTGAGTTAAGCGTGGCGTTGTTAAACAAGGAGTGATAGGCCCTATTTTTGTTTACAGTCTTCTGCACATTAATGGTGGTGACAATTCGTGCATGTTCGATTTCACAAGAAGTGTGTGTATGATGTTCACTGGTATGGTGCGTTTTGGTGATTCCTTCTTTTGATGTGTTTCTGCTAGAGCCTTCCAAAACGCAAAGAAAATATTGATAACATCACCAGGCTTCACTGTATGCCAAATATTCATATCAGTTTAGGGTTCCGAGTTTGTTTCCTATTGGGATAAAAACTTGCGTTTTTTTGCGTGTGAGTATAGTTCACATCTACTTTATAGCTATTTGAGCCAGATTATACGATAATCTGTAGTAGCTGGAATTGTGACCAACAAGGATCTTGCGAATAGATTATATAAATTCCGTAATAACTCTTTTACATAGTCTTATACCGTCTCGACTGGCTGGCCCGTGTTAGTTGTCCCTTGCCAAATCGTCTTGGATGTTACGGAAAGGGGCGAGTCGTGACAAATGTCTCTGCTCGTCTGAATGCTTTTCCTGGATTCAGATTGTCTGTACATGTAAAATTATCTGCCCTTGACGGGCAAAGCAACTACGCTATAGTCTTGCAGTGAAAACGTACCGATGAATTTCACTTTAAACCAAGAAGTAAATCAAATAAAGTGAAATTAGGATTGGCAAAGTTAAGTTTATGAGTATTCGCAATTGAACATTTAAATCTCAGAATTTATTCAACTTAGGACAAAAGTCGTTTAACAAACGATCATAGATTCAAATTGCCATTATTGGTGTGCCTTACAAGGGGGTAAGCGCAATAGTTGAAACAGTGAAACAAATGCACGTGCGTTACGTGATGAGCGTTAACTTAGACCAACCCTACTTGTTGTCGGTGTTTCATTTAACGTGCGTACCCCTGTAATGCAAAACAATAATAGCGATTTGAAACAACGATCGTTTGTTAGACAACATTTATCCTAAGTTGAATAAAATTCTGAGACTTAAATGTTCAATTGGCAAAGTAAAATTATGAGGATATGCAATCTTAATTTCACTTTATTCGGTTTACTTTTTTGTTTAAAGTGAAATTCATGGGTTTGTCTTCACTGCAAACAGACTATAACATGTCACCATAAATGGTCGACTGAAATGTTCCCTCCTGCCATGCTCATGTTAATAATAAAAAAGTTGTATATCCATAGAACTCTCCAAGTTGTTAATCACACCAACTTCTAAATGCCAAACAACTGACTGACTGACTGAGTTTTAGTTTTCGCCGCTGTTAGCAATATTCCAGCAATATCACGGCGGGGGACACCAGAAATGGGCTTAACACATTGTGCCCATGTGGGGAATCGAACCCGGGTCTTCGGCGTGACGAGCCAACGCTTTAACCACTAGGCTACCCCACCGCCCCTCTAAATGCCAAACAAAGAAGTTTCAACACTTGTAGAGAATTACGTCTTGATGCTAATATTTTTCGAGGATATTGAGAAGAATTATTTCCACAATTAGCGTGAAGTGCTTGTTCTGAAGGCATTTTGGTTTTATCACTTAAACTGCTCGCTCAAACGCACTCAGTGGGAGACGTATCGCCTGAACACACCTGGAGATGAGTGCACGTGAAAAACGAATAGGTTTTGCATATATAAGACGGTGGTCAGCGATACACCGGGCATTTGCTCCTTTCTGCCATTCGGTGCTCTTCGTTCCAGTTCGTGGTTTAGGCATTTAGACTACGAATGACTTTGTTGTTAGATGTGTAGGTTCAATTGGCTATTGTGGCGTTAGTTTGTTGAACTTGCATTAGTATGTTTAAAGGTTAGGCAATTAGCGGTAGTTAGCGGGTCATTTCATTTCAAAGTTCTTTTAGAATCACTTTAGAGAATTACGTTTAGTTCTTTGTAAATCATCCATAGTTTTTTCACTTATAATAGTTGTCACGTTTAGTTCCTTGTTTTAGGCCAAAAGGTAAGTTCAAAATTTGAGTTGATTAGGTTTTCAGTTAATTTGCATAGTATATAACGATTGTGCAGAGCTGAGTCAAAAAAGAAACTTCACAAAATGCATTTGAAAAATAATGAATAATCTTTTTCTGATGATACATCTATGCATCCGAAATGGGATCCCTATCTTTTGACTCTAGAAAAACGTTAGCAAAACCCACTCAAACCCATCCATTCGTCGTGCAAAGGACGTTAGTGCCAAATCAGGTTTTGCACGTGCAGTCGATCACGTGATCTTCGCATCGAAGTTTTCTTCATATGCACGTGTTTGCATTGGCCTCAAGAATTGAAAAAACACTCTTAAACCACAGTTCTAACGGTACTTGAAATGCCACGATTGTAAAATGTGCAACGTGAACGTGCCGTTGGCATGTTGCAAGCGGGAAGATCAGTTATTGACGTCGCAAGAGCAATGGGATGCAGTCGTCGTACTGTGTATGACTTGCGAGGTCGTCTACAACAAACTGGCACCACTTCTGATCGCCCAAGGTCGGGTCGTCCACGTGTGACGTCACGAACAGAAGACCGTCAAATCGTCCTACGTCACCTACGTGACACATTTCTGCCGGCTACACGAACCAGGGCTGAGATGTTTAGAGGTCGACTGTCCTCACAGACCATTCGAAATCGGTTGCGGGCTGCCAATCTCCATTCTCGACGTCAATATCGTGGGCCAATATTGACGCCTTTCATCAACGTCAACGTCTGCTGTGGGCCCAACGTCACCTCCGATGGACCCAGAGAGACTGGAATCGAGTCGTCTTTAGCGATGAATCCAGGTTTACCCTCAGATTCGCGGACGGCAGGCATAGAGTCAGGAGACGACGTCGTGAACTGTATGCCCAATGTTGTGTACAGGAAGTCGACAGATTCGGGGGCATGGCATGGTGTGGGGTGCTTTCTGTCGGAACAACCGTTCCCGACTTCTGGTCATCCGTGGAAACCTCACAGCTGCTGCTTTCCGCGACCAGGTGCTCACCCCTGAACTCGTTCCTTTCATGGCGGCTCATGGCCCAGGTCTACAGCATGATAATGCTCGGCCGCATACCGCGATGTTGACACGAAATTTCCTTCAAAACGCTGGAATCAACGTCATGGACTGGCCATCGAGGTCCCCTGACCTTAATCCATGCACTTGGGAGAAGGCTTCGTGGTCTTAGGAACCAACCTCAGAATTTGCAGGAACTTGGCGCTGCCTTGCAAGAGCAATGGCGCAGAATCCCCAACCACGTGTTCACAAGCATCAGGCAGTCGATGAGGAGACGGTGTTTGGCAGTGGTGAATGCGCGGGGCGGCCATACACGATATTGAACTGAGAAATTTCACATTTTTATTCTTATGACTTGACATTCTGTATACCGATGTTTTGGAACAGGCGATGTAGCCTAATGGAACTCATTATGGCACTGTCAGTGTATCGAGTACATCACACAGATCTCAGCAATGAAATAACAATTTAACTATCTTACCATCTCTCTTGTTCTTTTATAGTGCCCAGAAGAAAGAATGTGAAGTTTCTTTTTTGACTCAGTATATAGTACACTGCGCAACAGTGCTGGAATAATGGCCGCTTCCATCTGTTGTGCCCAGTGTCAGCGACTCGTGATTGTTGTAAGAGGCGGGATCGGGTAGCCACGTGCCATCGTATCCCAGATTGATGCTCATGCTGTTAATCAATGGATTGTCTGGTCCAGACTCGATTATTGACAGACCGCCGCCATATAGCTGGAATATGGCAGAGTGTGGCGTTAAATAGCAAACAATTTTATGATAATGATTGACAGTTGAGAATGATAGGCTGCTTACAATGTTTATTCACTTAGATCTTGTGTTACTATGTATGTCGGTGCGTTCACTGGTAGCTCCGTTTAAAGTGTTTGATTATCCAAGTTTCGCAAGTTAATGTGCTGCATCTCATTCTCCGTTTGATTCCAGTTGACGTCCGACATATCTATCTCTGATTTAACATTATAAAATCCTGATGTTGTCAAAGTCCTCATGCAGACGCGTCTGTGGAAGGGAATATGTGCCGAAGTAACACACTAGTGATTCATCAACCCATTCTGATGAAACGATGTTGTCCGTCAGGGGGCTCTTTTACCGCCTGCTCCAAGGGGCGCTACTCTCATTTACAATTCGATGATGCAGCAATTAACCGTGTGGTTGTATATTGAAAGAAACTTAGTAAGTTTGGTTTTACGCCGATTTAGCAATATTCCAGCAATATAACGGACACCAAAAAAATGGGCCTCATGTACTGTTCCCAGGTGAGGAATCGAACCAGGGCCTTTAGTGTGAAGAGTGAACGCTTTAACACCTATGCTACCCAAAACGCCCCTTGAACCTTTGATATGGATTAATGCCTGCACAAAGGTGAGGAGAGAAGGTGTATTTCAATCATGTTTGTTCGCGAATGCTGCAACACCTCACTGGCAACTACAAAAACTACCGGATTTGACATAAAAGTGCTTGACAAGAGTTTTCAGATGCAGTCTGTAAGTTACTGGTGTTTTGTGAAAGGCAGTATGTTTCTCGGGGGAAGACGCTGCAGAGTACAACTACACAATCCCAATTAGAATGACCGGGGCGGTGGGGTAGCCTAGTGGTTAAGGCGTTCGGTCGTCACGCCGAAAACCCGGGTTCGATTCTCCACATGGGCACAATGTGTGAAGCCCACTTCTGGTGTCCCCCCGCCGTGATATTGCTGGAATATTGTTAAAAGCGGCGTAAAACTTAAATCAACTGGTCATTCGAATGAGTGAGTTATCAGATATCCCCACCCTCATGTGTGTTTTACACTGTGCCGTCAGGGTGTAGTGCTAATAAACAGGTGAGTAATACACAGGTGTGCCATACAAGAGAAACATGCTATAACAAAGGAAATAATTCTATGGTGAATGCAACGTTTCCGTCTTGATAGTTGCTCCACTCGGAAAAGTCGCATCCATTGTGATAAACAATAATAACTTCTTTGAGGGGCACTTCTAGAAGTTGGAGACCGCCTCCGTGGTGTAGTGGTTAGAGCGTCCGCCCGGAGAGCGGAAGGTCGCGGGTTCGAACCCCGACCGCGTCATACCAAAAGACGTTAAAATATGGTACTTGGTAGTCATTGCCTGGCGCTCGGCATTAATGGGTACAACAAGGACTGGTCGACTCGGAGTCAGTATAATGTGTCTGAGTGGGGTATTCATGCTTCACTGCGGCATGGTATCTCAGTGGGCTAGCACTCTAAAACCAGCTTCAGTCTGGGCTAGTACAGGCAGCCACACATACACACGCATGCTCGTCGTCAGATGAGCGAAATATTCTCAAACACGACGTAAAACCCAATTTCACCTCACCTCTAGAAGTTGGAAAGTCAGATAAGGACAAGCTTTATGGATGAACAACTTTATTCAGTGATGCAATGTTTCGATAAGGTTTTTGTACTGTTGTCGGTAGCCTAGTGGTTAAATGTCACGCCGCAGACCGGGGTTTCGATAAGGTTTTGTACTGTTGTCGCCCTGAGCTGTGAATCTGCTAATACCTGACAAACCAGTAGTCAGTTGTACTGTTGTCAAGCAGCTGTGTCTGTATACCTGACGACAACCATACAACATATGTATCGAAAACATGTGTATCCCATATACAAAAGCTTGGAAATCCATACAATTGTCTTGTTTTCATCATACCTTCTGATTGCCATTTGAGAAGTCTGTTTTGACAACTTTATGAATATGTTAAGACCTTAACCTTGCTTAGAAACAACGACTTAACGTTGAAACACAGACATGTCGTAGGCTAATGCTCTCGTATTTGTTTACCGTGATCTCAAGTATTCCAGCTTAATTGTGTTGTCTGGTTCATTCCTTTCTCGAAAGATAAATCCACGGCTTTTTAAAATTATTTGCCACCAACACAGAGGGCGAAACGTTAATTTGATGGTTTCCCGGCGAATAAATCCCGTTTGTCCGTGATGGATTTTACAGTGAGCTTCAGTTGACATCCCGATAGAGTATAAAAAGGGGTTGGGCGTGATAAACTCAGGATTGTTTGCATTTGCAAAGCTGTAGACCTCAAAGCAATTCAGCGTGCTTACCTTTTTTAAACAGTACCAGAAACCAAAGGCTCAGTCGTGAGTAACCGGTTGGCAATTATATTTGTGATAGGTTGTACTGACTGGTAAATACATGTATTGCGTTGAAGTTAGAACACCAATATCTGTCCATGCACTCGGTAAGCCGAATCGTGAAGTAACTAGGAAATTGGCGATGAATGTTGTCTTCGTAAACACTCGTGGCTTTCCGGGTTAATTTCCTTAAGCAAACGAACGCTCTTGTTGGCTCCGGAAGGTTTCAACTTCGTAATTATCAGTTAAATGTCCCACTTTTCCGAAGTGAAAATATTCACAGCAGTGTTTACCGAGTTCAGCACTGCTTCAGCGACTTTCTGGGATTGTATAAAAGGTAAACGTATTAAATTGCTTTGAGGAATAACCGCATCTTACCATACTGGTACGACTATTTCATCTTTACACACTTTGAACCCCGATGTGTTGTGATGAGACCCTCCTCGGGTGCAGAGATTTTCGTAAACATACCAAAGTTGCTCCATGACATCTGTTAAGATGCTGTTGCCCGTGTTACCGTGCTGCGTTTTACTATGATGTAAGTTAATAATATTATATCATTTCCACGTTTTTTCCTCCGATGCTCGTATGACCTTTGGTTCATGTTGAATCTGTTAGGGGCGTCGGGGTAGCCTCGAGGTTAAAGCGTCCGCTCGTCAAGCGAAAGATATGGGTTCGATTCCCAACCGGTGAAGTCCATTTTAGGTGTCCACCGTATGGATATTGCTGGAATATTGTTGAAACAGACGGAACAACCACTCACTGTTATATAGATAGTGATAGAAGTGCCACCTAAATATACGATAAGCTCCCATTCACTGCCTCTCCAGCGACTCCAGGGTAACGCAATGCAGGTATGTAAAACTGGAAAGGACCCATGACCTCTTACATTAGTGAGTGAGTATGGTTTTACGCCGCTTTTAGCAATATCATGGTGGGTCACACCTTGTACCCATGTGGGGAATCGAACCCGGGTCTTCGGCGTGACGAGCGAACGCTTTAACCACTGAGCTGCCCCACCTACATTAAATATCCATTCAAGTGGCACGGTGTTTTCGTGCAAGATACGGATTCGTAGTGTGAATACATATGTACATTTGATGAAGATACAAACTAAATTATGGATAATAAATTATGTACTTTTAGTAATTTATGCATCTTCACCGAATGTTTTCTATAATTCTATAAAAGCAACCATCGTCAGCTTATCTTGTGGAAGTTCAAGGCCACTTGGTTTTCTCAGATTCTCGAGAATAAATATTGAAAGAAGCAGCCCATAAATATACAACTGAGGAATCAGCGCGATACTTTCTGCAAAATGAGTTGAGGTTTTAGTTTGAAGCCACACTTCCCACTTTGGCACATGGACATGGTTTGGTTGATTTGTAACGTCATATGAGCGAAATATTCTCAAGCACGACGTTAAACCCAATTTCACCTCACCTTGGTTTTTGTTTAACACCGCACTCGGCAATATTCCAGCTACATGTCGGCGGTCTGTAAATAATCGAGTCTGGACCAGACAATCCAGTCATCAACAGCATGAGCATCGATCTACGCAATTGGGAACCGACGACATGTGTCAACCAAGTCAGCGAGCCTGACCACCCGATGCCGTTAGTCGCCTCTTACGACAAGCATAGGTTACTGAAGATCAATTCTAACCCGGATCTTCACGGGTCTTGTTTAGCGTCCTACTCATCATAGTTCAGCTTTGTGACAGCGATCTGTAAATCGAATCTGGACCATACAATCCAGTGATTGACATCATGAGCATCCATCTAAACAATAAGCCATTTTCCTGTTTTGTCATTGGAACAGATGACATGCATGAACCAAGTCAGCAAGCTGGACCACCCATCCCGTTAGTCGGTTTTTGACAAGCATGGGCTGCAGGAAGGACAAATCCAACCCAGATCTTTATTTGGAAAACTTGCACATGACCTGGATAATGTGCATGGATTTCTTGGACCATTTACTGACAACATCCATATGGCCAAGTGATCGAGTTTGTTTTACGCCGCTTTTAGCAATTTTCCAGCAATATTACGGCGGGTGGACACCAGAAATGGGCTTCACACATAGTACCCATGTGGGGAATCGAACCCGGGTCTTCGGCGTGACGAGTGAACGCTTTGACCACTAGGCTACCCCACCGCCCCTCCATATGGCCGGTGCCAGATAATCAAAGCGAGCATCGGTGCCAGTCCTTCATAGCCGTGGTAATGCTGTGACTGGCCTGTATTGTTGTGGGGCAAATATAGGTCCCAGGAATATATTCCATTTCAGATAATATACAACATTTCTTTAAACAAAAAGGTTTATTCGAAGTAATGCAAAATTTAATAACAATAGTTGTTCACTAACACTTCACAAAATATGCATGTTTTATTCATGCAAGCAATGTGGTCGTAAATAAGTATACAGTATTATATCCCATAAAAATCATAATAAATTGTACGTATTGCGTCTGTAACAGGCAATTTCAATATACACAACATTGGATTGAATTTTCAAACATAAGTTTACCAACAATGGGGATGAATACACAATACCATTTAGAAAGTGGCTAAGTGTAACATGTTACATTTGGGATTACAGTTTGTCAGAAGAATCTAATACCTTTGGGTCGAGTCCAAGTCGGATTCTAACCTACTCTCAGTCAGGCAACCTTAGCCAGCACATAATATCAGTGACCTAAGCTATCTAGCCATAGCGGTTCCATAAAAATGGAGGTCTGACAACCGATAGTCTTGGAGTGAGTTTAGTGGTACGCCGCACTTAGCAATATCCCATTCCAATATGGCGGCGGTCTGTAAATAATCGAGTCTGGACCAGACAATCCAGTGATCAACAGCATGAGCATCGATCTGCGTAATTGGATAGCCTTGCGATATTTTGTGTCAATCTGTACTTTACTTACTGAGAAAGTATAATGCCAAATATAACATGTTACAAGACGGTGACATTCAGCAAAATGGTAGGATAATACTCTATGCAATTACAATATACTTCACCGAGTCCGCAGAAAGTGAAGGAGTGAGCGAGTTTAGTTTTGGGCTGCGTTTAGCACAGCGGGGTACACCAGGAATGGGCTTCACAAAGTTCACCCATGTGGGGAATCGAACACGTGACAAGCGAACGGTATAACCTCCAGGCTACCACCGCACCAGATTTGGTGATCTTCCAAACTCTCCCTGCTCCTGTGAAAAGCCTCAAAATAATTTTGGTAATGCAGATATACCTTTAAACACCACGGAAAAGCAAATACACTGAACAAATTTGAAGGTGAATATATTTTTAAAATCATTTCGGTATTGAATATTGTCAGAAAGTGCAAGCTGTCATGCATTAATGTTAGTTGGTGTTAGCCGAGTTAGGGTTTGTAAGTGCAAGCGTGGGTGCTCCTATTCATTACCGAAATGGATCCTATATATTCACCCTTATGCGAGTTGCATTAATGTGAGTTGATATAAAGCTACATGGTGTTTCGAATATTAAGGGCAGAGTCTGGAAGCCTTGAAGCCATGGAGGCACTTTAATACAGTAGACAAAACAACAAGCTCACATACCCCTGCTTCCCACTTTGGCACATGGAAATGGTTTGGTTGATTTTTGTTTAACATCGCACTCAACAATATTATAGCTATATGGCGGCGGTCTGTAAATATTCTAGTCGGGACCTGGTGATCAACATCATGAACATCGATCTACGGAATTGGGATACGATGACATGTGTCAAATCTCACCACCCAATCCCATTAGTCGCCTCTTACGATAAGCATGGGTTGAAGACCAATTCTAACGCAGATCTTCAGCTGTGACAAGCATCAGCAGCTCAAAGGTTGACCCCATCAATCTTTATATACTGATTACATTAATAATTGAACCCAGCATCACAGCTTCAGGGATATGCTCCAGATAAGATAACCACCAAAAACACATCTTGCACCAAGTCATGTTTCCATGGAAACAGCAAACATGTAATTCTGATAAACTTTACTTCGTAGCGGGGGTATAATATACTCAGCAGCAAAAAAAACGTCACTACGAATTCAAAATTAGATAGGCACTATTATCAAATCATTACAGAAATGGGCATAATTAGCGGATCAAAAAACATTGTGTACAATATTTTGACACATCAATAAATAACTCGGCACAATTCCAAGACATTACGTTAACGTTTGCAGTCCATTCAGTATCTAGTGTGACCACCACGAGCGGCGGTCTACTCCCAATTGTGAGACTCCCAGTTGAGACAGCGGAGTAGGTAATTAAAGAAAACACACCATACTCCCCTGTCTGATAGAATGGATTAACCCTAGCTAATTACTGATTTGCTTGTGGAAGTCTTAATGAAACTTTATAAGATAAATTAGGAGATAAACGTACTTTGTTGGGAAATTAGATGAATGTTTGGCAGAATTGATAGTCTCTAAATTTAATTTGGAACCGAACGTTGTATTTGATGTATACTTAAAAATATATTTATGCAATAGCCAATATCGATGACGTCACAACCTCAATTTCATTTTGTATTTTATGTTGCATGGGAGCGGTGTTAACATAAGCAGTAATCCCAATTCGTTTTCATAAATAATAATAAAATACGTTTAAACCAAAATGACTTTCAAACTTCATAATAGTCAATAAAAATGTGTTATCATAATTACATATTCTTCTGAATAAATAAAATATTAAATGAACTATTTCTTCTGTGTAAATATAATCTTTGATAATCTATTTCATTAATCTACTCACCAATGACTCCTGTGGGTACTCTTCAACAATTGGGCTGATCCCACTTTCATTGTAGGGATGTGGAAACACCACATATGTGCACTGAACTATTAATTAATGGTCTCACAACTGGGAGTTCTCACAAATGGGAGGACACCCGAGCGGCAATAACTGCAGTACAGCGTCTATGGATGGAGTGCACCAATCGATTGATTAAGGCCATTGGCACCTGGAACCACTCTGTGAAAGGCCTGGCGCAATAAAGTCGGCTGTGTTCGGCCTTAATTTAACATTTAGTCTCCTCATGATTTCATTCCAAAGATGTTCAACTGGGTTTAAATCAGAACTAAGGGCTGGCCACTGCATAATGTTGACACCGTTCTGCTGTAGAAAGTCCCGTGTAGCTCTGGCAGTATGGGCCCGGGCGTTATGCTGGAAAATGTTGTTCCGGTGACGTGCGAAATGTGGTATGACGTGGGGTCCGAGAGCTTGGTCGATGTAGCGCACCGCTGTGATGCCGCCTCCTCTTCCTGGACCAAGGTTCTGGAACACCACAGGACCCACTCTCTGGTTCAGGCCTATTGCACCCCATACCAAGATGCTTGCACCTCCCCATGAGTCTCTTTCCATAACACATTGGTCCGAGTAACGCTGGCCACGTCGTCGCCATATTCTTGTTCTGCCATATGCAGTTGATACGCAGTATCGACAGTTCTCCACTTCCTGTATCGCCAGTTTTGGTTAGGGCAAACTGTAGACGTTCACGCCGATGACGAGGGGTGAGGATAGGTCCAAGGTAAGGTCTTGTGGTCACCCTTGGCCTGCCAGTACGGGGGCGATCATTTGTGGTGTTGGTGGCCCGGAAACGTTGCTGCAGCCTGTAGATGGTCCGAACGTTGACCTGGAAGTGATTGGCAACGGCTTTTTGCAGTGTGGCCAGCTTCAAGTCTTCCTTGCGCCTGGTTCCTACGAGCTGTCGTGAGAATGGGCATCATGCTGACGTTGTAATGTGAATGTTTCAACCAGGTTTGGGGGTGCATTTTATAGGGCTGGTCCTTGTGAACAGCACGTGCAGCATGAGTTGCATGAAAAACATGGAGAACACCGTACCATCTCCAGGGTCAGGTTGCGTTTTCGAGACCATTTACTGGGTTCAATTCTGAGTTTTGGAAGGAATGTTTTTGCTCAGGTAAAGTTGGAGATGTTGTCAAATATATACAATCAACACATTAAATGAGTTTACAGTTATCCGTTCTGCGAAGGAAACTTCCAAACTGACGTTTCTTTTGCTGCTTAGTATACTTATACACATTTGCATACCATCGAATGAGAGTGAAAATTCAATAAAAAGAGTAAATACTAGGGCTGGGACGGGTCCAGATTTTCTACCCGGGTACCCCACCCCCTTTTACTCTACCCTACCCGGATAGCCGTTATGTTAATTACCGACATCGAATTTGAAATAAATAGCAATATATTCTTCAGCTCGGAGGCTAAAATTTCGTTTTTTTTTCAATATCTTAACCATGTATTATATTCAAAAGAAATGACTGTAAATTATGTCTAAATGTACAACGTTTTAATCATGAAAGAGTGATCATAACGGGTCCGGGTATTGAGACGGGTAACCGGGTCCAACTCATCACCCACCCATCCGGGGTATGCGGGTTACCCGTTCCAGACCTATTAAACACCAACAGTTTTGATTTCTTTACCAAAAGTGTACACAAAATTCATCTGGTCCATTTTAAAGATTGAAAGCTGTTGATGTGATTAGTAACAGGGTCAGCAATATTTCAGCTATATGCCAGCAGTCTACAAGTGAGTCGGGAACATATGTCGGCGAAAGTAAGTTTCAAACACGGATGTTCCACGACAACATTTCTGAACAATCAACTTTCAAAACATTAGTAACGAGTGTCCATAAGTTGTGCTGTAGTCATTGTCTATGCAGATGACAGATCATACCACACTGCTCCAAAACAGCTTCAATGTGGAATATCACAATTCAGGATGACGTCCATGTTTTTGGCCATCAGTATGCAACATTTGGTTCATTATATCCACATCTCCAAGTCAAAAACCAAGTCCGACTTTTCACCTGTGCCTTTCTGTGAACATCCAGCGAATCATACTGTAAAAGCGGGCTTCAGAAAGACTTGGATAGCTGGTCTATCTTCTCCTGTGCTTGAAATTATCTTCAGAGACGTTTCAAAACACAACACAAATTGAAATATGCCAGTCCACAATATTTTAGCGACAACTGGACAAGATAATGATCTATGGTGACAAGCATACAAACTGAGCGAGTATTACGCCGCTTTTAGCAATATTCCAGCAATATCACGACGAGAGAGACCACAAATGGGCTCCACACATTGTACTCATGTGGGGAATCGAACCCGGGCCTTCTGCGTGACGAGCAGTTAACGCTTTAACCACGAGGCTACCCAACCGCCTATCACGCAAGGGGAATATATACCACCCAATCCTGATGAAAGTGGATGTGTGGTAAATTGCATCGGCAATATTTCAGTCACCTGGCAAATATACTATTCACACTTTGGTAAGGATGACAAAAATTCATAACTTTACTTAAACGTAGACTTATAATTTGAAATTGTATAAATTTAAATCTGGATAAAGAAAATATGGTAACCCCTCATTATGCAAATAGTCACTTTAAGCTAAAATGCACTTGATACGTGAGTAACCATAAAAATTCATGGCACCAGACAACTATTTGCAAATCTTGGAACGAGTCATTGACAAATAAACATGTCAATATCAGGTATGGGGTCCACAAGATGCAAATGACATACTGAAACCAAGGATCCATACTTACAATAAGCTTAGATATTTAAACCAAATTTGAGCCCACATAATGGTTTTCTGTTGAATCCGTGATTTGATCCTTAGCAAAGTGGAAATAGTATAGAACACAACAGGTTCGGGATTTTAAAAAATGAGGGATCAAGGATTGTACTGGGTACAATTCCAGTATTGCAAGCCACAGGCCCTTGATACAAGAAACAACCAATAGACATTACAGAGATAATATATTGAATTGCAGTGTTGATACTCAAACAAAGAAACTGCATACAGAAACTATTCTGGGTTTGTTCTTATCTCTCGGTAGTGCTTATTATCCTATTCCAACATTTCTCAATCTAAAACAGAATTATTTTAAGGGAAAAATATGAATTTATAGTAAATATAAATAGCCAAAAAGATCTAAGCAAGAACACTTATCTGAAGAATATTTGACAAGATATGGGCAACAACGACAAAATAACATTAAGTTGGTGGGCTGAGAATAACCAAATTTGTGAACAAGCAAATTCTTGGCCCAGATATGCAAGAGCTTTCTTTCAATCCTCGTGTTCAAAATATTGAAGTAAATATAGGGGTAGATTCTATGTTGCCAATAAGATGTGGAAAAACCTTTTGATCTGTTGAGTGTTTCAATTAGTATGATCTTCGATCACATGTGTATAATTTAACAGTTATTTCACTGTACATTTATATTGCCATGATGGACTGAAAAAGGTGTGCTTGGAAATTTTAGTTTCACCTTTTACAAGTTGACTTATAAAATGAATGATATGCCTTTCACACATGATTTTGAATGGACATTGTATTGAATTAAATTTTATGTGGCATAAATATTAAACAATGTACAATTGGGTTTTATATTCTAGAAGTCAATAAACACAGTTTGCTAAGGACCACAAAACTTCACCGCTTTACTTAAAAGTAAACAGATTAATAATATGAAAATGTATTCATTTAAAACTGGGTAAATAAGGTAACCCCTCTTAGGCAAACAGTCACTAATCTAGCCTTATGCACTGATTCATGAGTAACAATAAACATGGTTTTCATTGCACCAATCAACCATCTTGCAAATCATGGAACGAATCACTGGCAAGTACACAGTACTTCTCAATAGCAGGTATGGGATCCACAAGATGAAATGACATACTGAAACCTAGGATCCATGCTTACAATAGGCTTAGCTATTTAAACCAAATTTGGCCCCACATCATAGTTTTCTGTTGAATCAAATATTTAATCCTTAGCAAAGTGGGAATAGTACAAACAAAAAGATGTTATCGAAGGAGTCGTATACTTCATTATTACAATGTACAATTGAATATGCATAACATGTATTAGGGGTTCATTGCTTTTAGAAAGTGGTCCGATGTAACATGTTGTATTTGGGATAAATTTCTCAGTAAACGTTACATTTTAAAGGCAAAGAGTAATCATAGTTTTGGCCATGGAAGCCCCGGCAATTACACTTCTCGGGGGTATACAAAGCACGTAATCATGGCTGACTGTACTTTGAGAAAGTGTAATCCCAAATATAAAATGTCGTATGGTTACCTTTAGAAATGCTGCGTACCGATGGATGCCACTCACTTTCAAACCAATTTTAATTCCAATCAAAACATACAAGCCTATGTATATTTTACAAGTTTGCTGTATCCAAAATAGCTAATTCTGAAATAATATACCCCAGTATACATGACATTGATCAACCTTTGTCCCCAGATTAGTGAAAGAGCGAGCGAGTTTAGATTTTATGCTGCTTTTTAGCAATATTTCAGCAATATGACAACGGGCACGCCAGAAATTGGCTCCACAAATTTCACCTATGTGGGGAATCGAATCTAATTCTGAAATAATATACCCAGTTACAAATTCCATTATTGTCAAAAATCAAAACACCAATTTTTAATAACAATTTGTAGGTTTATATACATGACATTGATCATATCTTACTGCTTCAACTTAGTCCCCTGATAATGAAGAGTGAACGAGTTTAGTTTTATGCCAGCTTTTAGCACATATGACAGCAGGGTACACCGGAAGGGGTGGCTCCACAAATTTCACCGTATGTGGGAATCTAACCCGGGTCTTCAACGTGACGGTGACCGATTTTGAAAACTAGGCTACCCCACCGGACCCAATTTGCTGATTTGTTTTTTAACTGGATAGGTGATACTTCCAAACTCTCCCAGCTCATATGAAAACTGTTATTTTGATAATGCAGATATACCTTTAAACACCACGGAAAGCAATTACACTGAACAATTTTGAAGGTGAATATATTTTTAAAATCATTTCGGTGGTTGAATATTTTCAGAAAGTGCAAGCTGTCATGCATTAATGTTAGTTGGTGTTAGCTGAGGAGTTAGGGTTTGTAAGTGCAAGTGTGGGTGCTCCTATTCATTACCGAAATGGATCCTATATATTCACCTCCTATGCGAGTCAAGTTACATTAATGTGATTTGATATAAAAGCTACATGGTGTTTAGAATTAAGGGCAGAGTCTGCTGGAAGCCTTGAAGCCTTATGTAGGCACTTAAATACAGTAGAAAACAACAAGCTCACATATCCCTGCTTCCCCACTTTGGCACATGGAAATGGTTTGGTTGATTTTGTTTTAACTTCCACACACTCAGCAATATTCCAACTAACCGGACAATCCGGTGATCAACATCATGAACATCGATCTACGGAATTTGGATTCACGACATGTGTCAACCAAATCAGCGAACCTGACCACCCAATCCCATTAGTCGCCTCTTACAAGCATGGGCTACTGAAGACCAATTCTACCCAGATCTTCAAATGTGACACGCATCAGCATGGAGTTCAGCAACTACTGGATTGTGATTGGTTAATCAAAAGTCATTCAGAGGTATAAAAATGACGTTACCTCTGATTTTCCAACACCGTATGTATTTTTTAGCAAACCTTAATAACGCGGATATGGTAGAATAGTTATTCACCCTAATCACAGGCATTCTAGATAGACATTTTGCGAGCTATTTCACCATCGAAGGAGAAAATGAAAATTCACTAAGAAGATTAAATATCAACAGTTTTGATTTCTTTACCAAAAGTACATAAAATTCATCTGGTCCATTTTAAAGATTGAAAGCAGTTTATGTGGATCAGTAACAAGGTCAGCAATTTTTCACCAATATGCCCAGCAGTCACAAGTGAGCCGGGACCGAATAATGCAGTGATCTGACCTGAGCCGGGATCGAGGGCAAGTGACATGGCATCAACCAAGATGACATTTCTGACCACTCCAGTCCCTTTCAGTCGCCTCTTCGGACAAGCATTGGTTGCTCCAAGTTAATTCTAACTTGTATCTTCACTGGTCAGTTTCACAAGAAACGGTATGGTAGCTAATTCACACCGAAAACTACTGATGTCCGGAAAAAAGTAAAGTTACAAACAAATGTTACGCATGACTTTCTGAACAGTCAGACGAGAGCATTCACAAAAAACAAACGAGTGTCCATGCGATCGGTTGTGCTCTATATTCTGAGGATGAAGTTCCATACCACACTTCTTCAAAACAGCCTGAGTGTGGAATATCACAATTCATGACTGACATCCATGGTTTGATATTAACATGCAACATTTGGTTCATCATTGTCCCGGTTCTCCAAGTCAAAAGCAGACTTGACCTGTGCCCTTCTGTGAACATCCAGCGAATCTGCTACTGTAAATGCGGGCCTCGGCAAGCCTTGGATGGCTGTCTTCTCTTCCAGTGCAAACAATCATCTTCAGAACACTGCTTCAAAACAAAACAAAACCACAGTCCACAACAATATTTCAGCAACGACTGGACGGGAATTGAATGAGTTTAGTTTAACGCCGCGGTTTCGGCAGTATTTCATCAATATCACGGCGGGAGAACACTTAAAGAGGCTTCACATATGTACCCATTAGGGAAGTCGAAATGAGCCTTCCGCGTTACGACGCTGGACAGAAACAATATCTAAGATGACAATTACACAGGGTGAGTGAGGATGGTTTTGCGCCACTTTCAGCAATATCACGGTTGTGGACACCAAGGAATGGGCTTCACACAAGTACCCAGTGGGGGAATCGAACCCGGGCCTTCAGCGTTACGAGCGAATGCTTTAACCACTAGGATACCCAGCCGCGGTATTATACAAGGTAACTACGTACCACCCAATCCTGAGTAAAGTGGATGCGGTGGAATTGATATTGACTTTGCATCTGCACATTTCAGCCACCTGGCAAAGATAACTTCCACCATACAGTACAGTACACGATCGGTTCTTTAAAAATGAGGGACCAAAGGATTGCACTGGGACAATTTCAACATTGGAAGCCACAGGCCCTTGATACTAAAAATAGATATTAGAGTGAGAGAAGGATTTACGCCGCACTCAGCAATATTCCAGCTATATGGCGGCGGTCTGTAATAATAGAGTCTGGACCACACAATCCAGTGGTCAACAGCATGAGCATCGATCCGCACAATTGGGAACTGATGACATGTCAACCAAGTCTGCGAGCCTGACCACCCGATCCCGTTAGTCGCCTCTTACGACCAGCATAGTCGCCTCTTACGACCAGCATAGTCGCCTCTTACGACCAGCATAGTCGCCTCTTACGACCAGCATAGTCGCCTCTTACGACCAGCATAGTCGCCTCTTACGACCAGCATAGTCGCCTCTTACGACCAGCATAGTCGCCTCTTACGACCAGCATAGTCGCCTCTTACGACCAGCATACCGTATACCGGGAAATTTTCGAGGTATCTAATTTTCGAGGTTTTCGAGGTTAGAAACGCAACATCGAAAATATTATATCCATGAATTTTTCCGAACTTCGTACCTTTGGGCTAGATTTCCTATCGATAAGCATTTCAACTGCTGGCAAACAATGACTTCCTGACATGCGCATTAACTCTGTAATGCCTGTCTACAACCACGCTATTAGACTCATTTTGTCTCGTTAAAATGTAACGACATCGACTGAAACAAACTTTTATTCGTGCGATGGCACGTTTGAGTCAAGCTACTTACATGAATAAACTATGGTAAACAAAAGAGTTCAACTTCTCAGCTTTCTAACAACAACATAGTTTCAGCAGAGACCCATGCATACATGCTTATAATTAGTTGTTAACAAAACAATATCGTCTGAGAAAAAAATGGCGTCATGTTTGAACTCTGCCGTTAGAATGTTTTATGGGCCATTTATCACAACAAAGGATCAAACGTTTGTTTTCATTACTATTATTGCTGCCATGGACTGGTATACCAGTTGTTATAACAGTCAGACAGCAGTTATCACAGGCTACTAGGAGTTTTGCCGATAGCTCAGTGAGTATTGGTCCGGTAAGTGATGTTTCTGGCCCCTTTCTTCTAACCTCGAAATTAACATTGTCTAAAATATTTATATATTTTAGGTCCCCAAACCTCGAAATTTAGATCACCTCGAAAGCTCTGGGGGTCTCAAACCTCGAAATTTTAATACCTTGAAAATTTCTCGGTATACGGTAGTCGCCTCTTACGACCAGCATAGTCGCCTCTTACGACCAGCATAGTCGCCTCTTACGACCAGCATAGTCGCCTTTTGTGGCAAGCATGGGTTGCTGAAGACCCCGGATCTTCACGGGTCAGATATTAGAGATAATATTAACATATTGAATTGCAACAAATGACACCATGGACTGCCGCTGGAACAAATGACACCATGGAGTGCCGCTGCAACAAATGAAACCATGGAGTGCCGCTGCAACAAATGACACCATGGACTGCCGCTGCCACAAATGACACCATGGACTGCCGTTGCCACAAATGACGCCATGGAGTGCCGATGCAACAAATGACACCATGGACTGCTGCAACAGATGACACCATGGACTGCCGCTGCCACAAATGACACCATGGAGTGCCGCTGCAACAAATGACACCACGGACTGCTGCTGCAACAAATGACACCATGGACTGCTGCTGCAACAAATGACACCATGGACTGCCGCTGCAACAAATGACACCATGGACTGCCCCTGCAACAAATGACACCATGGACTGCTGCTGCAACAAATGACACCATGGACTGCCGCTGCAACAAATGACACCATGGACTGCCGCTGCCACAAATGACACCATGGACTGCCGCTGCCGTAAATGACACCATGAACTGCCGCTGCCACAAATGACAATGGACTGCCGCTGCCACAAATGACAATGGACTGCCGCTGCCACAAACGACACTATGGGCACCACGGACTGCCACTTCTGCAACAAATGACACCATGGACTGCTGCTGCCACAAATGACAATATGGATTGCCGCTGCAAGAAATGACACCATGGACTGCCGCTGCCACAAATGACACCATGGACTGCCGCTGCCACAAATGACACCATGGACTGCCAGTGCAACAAATGACACCATGGACTGCCAGTGCAACAAATGACACCATGGACTGCCAGTGCAACGAATGACACAATGGACTGTCAGTGCAACAAATTTGCCCTTGACGTAAGTAACCAAAACAAGGTGAGGTGAAATAGG